GTGGTGTGCCATTGTGTGGAGACGCTGGTGGGATTGTTCGCAGGATAGGGTGTGGATGTGAGTGATTTTCGCAGGGAAGTGGTGAGAATTAGGAGGAGAGTGTGGAGAGTTCGAAGAAGGAGGAAGCAAACTCTCGTGGGTAGAGAGTCGTATCTGAGAGTGAAATTAGATTGGGTCAGATATTGAAGTGCGAAATCTGTGAGTGGGATCCGAGATTGAAGTTTAACCTGTGAGTGGGATCAGAGATTGAAGTGCAAAATCTGTGAGTGGGATCTGAGATTGAAGTGTAATCTTTGAGTGGGATCCAAGATTGAAGTGTAATCTGTGAGTGGGATCCGAGATTGAAGTGTAATCTGTGAGTGGGAGCTGTGATTGAAGTGTAATCTGTGAGTGGGAGCTGAGATCAGAGTGGAAGACCTGAGAATGGGAGCTGTGAGTGAAGCGAAATCTGAGATTGAAATCTGACAGTCGGGATCTGAATTTGAAACTGAAAAGGGAAAGTTGAATCTGAGAGAGGAATCTGGTGGAGTCTGAAGGTGGAAGCTGAGAAATCAAAACTGAAATCTGAGTAGGAATTGGGAGTGGAACTCGGAGCTAGGATAGACCACATCGGCTGTGGTATTGAGAAAGTCACTCAGAGTTGGGTTAGATCTTTATGTAACAAAGAGCTTGTCTGCTGCTCTTGTGGAGATAGCAGACAACAAGTTATTATTTTCGGTTCTGGATAATTTGTCTGTGAAAGAGCAAGTGTTTATGATCTCATTGTCTTGAATACACTTTGACCACATGGTTGAGATCAGAGAAGTTAGATTATGGGAGCTCGAACCCCCACCTGGACTACAAACGCTGAAGGGTGGGGAGTTTAGGCTCACAAGTAATGTTCATGGATTTTTTTTAAAAAATACTTCACATATGTAAAAATTTTTACAAAATTCCACATTGATTTTGAGAATAACATGCTGATATAACTAGACATATTTTGAATTCTTATATGTAAATGAAATAGATTGACTTTTGCGCACAATATCTTTAGAATCTGTATGTTTACTCTTTTAGTATCTTGCTTTTAAATTACTCCAATATGTTATCACTTTCACTTGTTGGCCGTTTCAGTAATAATGTGAAAAAAAAATCTTTCACATCTATTATAACAAACGTTTTGACATCGTAATGCATCCCAAATGTCATATCTACAAAGCGTATTTTTGAATTTATATAGAGTTATGGAAATTCTCAATCTCATATTATTCTTTTTTGGGAGACCGTGCTTCAAGCATCTGGGCAAAATTATAGGGTCCACATAGTCTCAGACTTCCTTGCCCCGCACAAGAATTTGACTCCAACTTATTAGTTGACTGTTTTATCCATTCCGTTTATCCTCCCTAACTATTAAACATATGTCCAGGTTACATAAAGGTATGAGGAGAAACAATCGCTATAGCGAATAACGGAACCTACGACTTCCACATCTTCAACTGTGGATCGAAATCTTCTCCGCAAGTACATCCTATTGAAAAGGCCTCTGATGTCATTGTTCACATGTGGAATTATTCTCCGCAAGTACATTTTGTTCAAAAGGCCTCTGATGTCATTGTTTACATGTGGAATTACCTGATGCCAAAATATCAGTTTCAGGACACTGACTACTTGAACTCTAAACTCGACTTTAGCACGTGAGGTAAGGTGAAAAACATTTTCTTGATGATAGGACGGAACAAAACTGGGGCTCCAGGAAATATGGCGAGGATATGATCGGCTTTCTTCACATTCCTAATCTTCGATTGCTTCAAGTATTTGGCTTCAGATAAAACCTTCACATAAACTTCATTCCAATTACTCTATCAGCCTCGCATACACTCACATTCCGAGTCTACGGATGCTCGAGATAGTTCAATGCAAACATAACGATATTCTTAGATTCTATATAAAAGACTGTTTCAAAAATTCTTGAAAGAGAACTTGGCTAGAATAGTTTGATGATAAAAATCTCATCGTCTGTTATTTAAAGCTATTTTGAAATTGATATACAAGTCACTAGAAGTTATTATTATTATTATGAAAAGATAAGAATGCTGATAACAAATCATATATAAGTAAAAATGAAGTTTCTCTTTATTGCAGCAAAAATCTGAGAAAAATATATTTGATTGATAATAAATTAGAATAAAAAATTTTTAAGCACATTTCATATTTTTTTCTTCGGAACTGATGATTATATGTGGAGTCAGATCATTCTTTCATTTCCTCCCTGTCTTTCAGTGATAAATTCAAGACTAGCAAACATTGTTAACTCAACAACAGGGATATATGGAGGACCCTCAGAAAAGTTGGAGTTCGTGTTAGCGATCAAAACGGGCATATATCATCGTTCGAGTACATAGTGATCAGACCTTTCGAAGATCATATTTTAAGATGGTAATTTTTGCGTATCAAAGTGAATGCTAGTCCAGTTTTTGTGTAACGATTCTACAAGTATCGTCAAGGGTTTTTTATCCTCCTAGCTGGAAAGCTAGAACACTCACTGAAACTGTGGTACGAGCTGATTGTAGCTTGTGCAGAATGAAGGGATTTACATAATTCTACAGAAGGCAAGTTCAAGAAGAAAGTTGTAACAGTTCGGATTCCAAGCATACAGAATCACAAATGAACTAATCGAAGCTAGAAACATAAGCTATTGGTTTGACTCATCACTTTCCGCAGGGACATTCTAAGAAAAAACTCACCGCTAAGTACCTCAAATGCACATCAAAGAATACTGATAATTCTTCTCATAAGTTCTTCCTAATTGTAAACGTAAGATTCTAGTCAGATTCTAGCACCTAAATTGAGATCATACTGGACTTCATCTGATTAAGTTAGCATTCTGGTTTCTCTTACGTCTCATATGTAATCCACGGACCAGCTTCATTACAGTTCAGAAGTCATATTCTTGTCTGCTATTACATTGTACACAACTGTGGGACAACAATGCGATCTTAGTCGAACCGTGTACTTCAGCTCAAACCTGTAATTTCAACTTCTGGTTCAAACTTTCATTCCCTGGTTTGAGATTGATCTGAGCTGTTTGCTTTATCATAATGCAAGCTTTAAATCTGACTTCATCCGGCTCTAAGTAGGAGAACTAGATTGTAAAGAAGAAGCAGTAAGATAGCAGCAATGACCATAATTTTCTGTTTCAAAAAAAAAATCACTATCACTTGTATTTTAGTACAGTCTTAATGGTTTCCTGTCCGATTGGTTGAAATTTTTTTTATTCTATTTAGCCGGTTTCACCCACCATTATCTTAAAGTAGGAAAGTTCTGTTTGCACGTTTGAGCCTGTGAATTACAAATCTGCAAATGACATCTGTCTTGTAAAGTCGGTATCCAAGTCCTCTCGATGAATACTTATTGATAATGTGAAGAGGATTACATGAGAGAAATGTTACTGATTAAGAATGATCGTAAATTCAGATGGAAATAAATGACATAATTCTTAGGACATTATTCATGAATAAATTGATTCTGGTTATCCTGCTCGTCATCGGATGCTCATAACTGTATATATGTGGCAGCAACTGAAATATTGGAATGTTTGTGATTTGCTAAGAACAGGATTGATCTCGATCGCGATATATTCTTATCATTTTTTTATATATCTACGTGGGACCACCCCCTTTGTGACATAATCATGCATGGAGTGAAGCATGGTCTCATTCCATAGTAAGAGCAGTCGCCTGTGATGCAATGAAGCCAAGTAGCTATCAATCCGCGTGGATAGGAAGAAAGTATTTTGTGCTTCAGTCTAGGGACATTTGTTACGGACCTCCAACAATGAATAATCACTAGTTCAAATCTGTAGTCGTCCGCCCACTTGCGACAAACACATTTGCGGCGGAAATGTGTGTCTGAATATTATTCTTGAATTGAATGGATGAACAGTTATGATCTGCATTTTCTCCCACGACAAACCAGAATGGATTTGCAACAGAGGCCTAAAGCGGCTAACGTTTTCCTGTCTTATGATCAGACAGGAAAACATGATCAGATCACATATGAATTAGCATATCCAGCTAATTGTCTGACTCTGAATCGGCTAATTTTCTAGTCTTTGAAAATTTTGCATCTATCTGAAGCAGATATTTGCACAGAACGAGATCCCATTTGCGCTTGAAGGCTTGAAGGAACTAAAACGCTACAGTCAGGATTTTTCACGTGACTTTTTGCCTACCGTCGATGCAAACTCTACTTCTTGTAGTAGCTTGGAAATTGGGGCTCTGGGGAGTTTGGGGTCAGTGTTGGCTACCGCATTGACCCTTAAGAAATACTTCACCCTTCTCATGATATGAATACTCAAAGTTCCTCACTGCTAATATATAGGGATCAGATCCTAGTACACCTCTTCCATTTGCCCTCTCTTACTTTCATATCACTTTCATGGGTGACATTCAACAAATCAACGTTAAAATATATGCTTAAACCTTTTATATACATGTAACCCCCAGTCTTTAAAAAAAATTTCAATGTCCGACCAAACAGAACTGTCCATATCAAAACTAATATTCAAATTCAAATTCAACGGGAAATTTAGCACAGAGTATACGACAGTCGTCAATGTTGTCTTAAAGAGTCACCACACTCATGATAATAACATTCCACAGTGGCTATTTTATGGTTATCTCATGATGAACAAGATGCATGTGTCTGTCTCAACTTAAACCAGATATCACGGTTTTAGAAAACAAGAACAGACTGTATTTCCACAATCCTACACGTTATTTTTCCATGTCATTAAACTTCACATATTGTAAGTTCTTCACACTGTATATCAACGCAAATAGGTGAGAGACAACGTCAACCATTTTACTGTGTAAGATTATACTCAGTTTGGCTACCGAGATTGCACGATCTGCTGTTACTTGCATGAGATGATTTGACATTGGGTAATTCTCATCACTGTTTAGGACAAGTATCTCCCTTAAAACCTGAAATTTTCATTTGACTAGTTGATGGACTGCAGAAGAAGTGATACCAGTTTGAATCTACCCACCACTGATAGTGCTGTGTGGCCGCAAAAAACGAAGACGACTCATTAGACTTTATCGCGTTTGGCAACTGCCGTGGTCAGCAACGAGTGCTATTACATAAGTATCATCAAGCGACCTCGTCTTATCTATCTATGGTCATGCACAAAAATGTTGGATGGTGGTCTATGGTATACATGGTTTGCGACGACGGTCTGCGTCAAATGTGACTGAAAGAGGTACGCAAGGCTGATGAGGAATGAAACAGCATGTAATCGGTAGAACAATCGACTTCGGTTGCAATCTGCCCTCTTTACAGACATTCTTTACGTATTTTACATGAGCATTGTATAAAGCTGAGAAAGCAAGAGTGAATCTTCTAATAATTTAGATTCCTGAGAAGCTACTGGATTTTGACTTCTGCATCATGAAATTGTTCACCTATAGGTACTTGAAGATGTTGTCGCCAGAATTCAAATAACGCATCTTTTAGTTTCTCTGGAACAATCGCTTGATAGGTTCCTTGGACGGTTCGCGTGAAAGCACTTGTTATGGCTCCGATCAGGAATCTCAACTTGTCAGAGTCGTAAATGTCTCCAATGATTGGTACAGCTTGAAGTAGAGGCCACCGGATGAAATAGTCCCTTTGAACTTTAACCTTCTTGACCCTTTTCCCTGTCACCTGACGACACGCCACGCACATGAAAGAATTGAGAGATAGATACTTCAGCAAATTATGCTCTTGAGTTGTCTTATTTACCAGCTGATCTCGGGACAGCCTTTGGCGCATTGCACAGCTACCAACGTAATGTTTGAGTATCATCAGAACTATTCGAACTATGACTCTGTCATGTGGCCAATCCAGAGAGAAGAAAACTCCATAAGAAGGACCCTTTGGGCACGGGCTTCATTTCCAACCTCGACCTCAACTAGACTAGAGACCTTCAGAAGCAGCAGACTTTGCAGATTAATCAATTTCATCACTGCCATCAGGTTCGGCATCAGCTTCACAATTACAACATCGGCGAAAGAACTTGACCACCTCCGTCTAGATCAGGGGCTGTATAACTAAGAAGCTCTCCGCCTGCTTTTGATTTAAAGGTGTAGCTAAAACGGTGGAGTCTTGAAAGTGTTAAAATCTCTAAGTGCAACAACTTCTTCAAGGGTAACATGTGATACCAAATTCTTGTTGGCTTAATTTGTACCGAATTTCAAGCTGAATGCATTGACAGCTGAGTTACCTCATTTGTCGAGTCTTCGAGCTGCAGCTCCGTGAAAAATCGAAGATTTACAGTGCGCCACAGCAAGACCCAGGGCTTAATCTCGACGGTCATTCGAACAGCTAGGATATTCTTGGCCGCATCGTAAACAATGTCTTGAATGAAGACATCTTGATAGTTGACAAAAAGCAAGGCGTACTGGTAGAGGGCGATAATTGCAGTCAGCCCGGCGACGGGGTTGACATTGACATAGGGATGGTAGAACTGCGCATCCTCTGTAAAATTCTCTGTCAGAATTTCGTCCATCTGCTGAAAGGTTGGCCTCTTCAACAATCCGCGTAGAATACCACCTATCTCTTTGACAGGGTCTTCCATTTCGTCAACGTCACCACCGAGCAATTCCTAAATCCGGTGACCAAATGCCTTTTGATCTATCGAGGGTTTTGATCCAAATCAGCTCTAGCTCCAAACAACAAAAGCCCTGCTCGATAGCGGGAAATTAGGAATTGGAGTGCGCCAATTCTGATACTCCAGCTGGGTCTGTCTCTCGAGAATCTCTGATATGTGCAGACGAGGAGTAGGCGGAGAAGTGGAGTGTGCAGACTTCGCAGAGAGCAGCAGCACGCCAGTGGTCTTGGGGACCATGAAGTTGACGTGCCATGAAGCCGCCAATGGATTGCTGACAACGCAACCATTGTCAAAGTGCCACGTTGAATTGAAGGGGCATGCTGTTGTGCCACGTACTCAGGGGGTAGTTGTCTTCTAGCCTCCCACGCTCACCAGAAACCATGGACTCAGAAATGTTGCTCAGAGTCTGAGCTACGATGAGAGTGAAGGTTTCAGGCCATCACCGTCAAGGCAAACGTGCGGAGATCTCGTACGCAAACGTCTTTCGCCTCGTCGTGCAAACAGAGATTTCCGAGACCTGAAAGTTGGCGACCGGCTTATGCTCTTTGTCACGAGAATGTAGAGCTCGGCAGGCCGCTTCGAGCATTTTCGGCCGAAAATGTCGTTGCTCTACATCCACCCACCACCTTGCACTTCATTTCTCGAACCAACCGAGCCCTGGAGTCGGTCATCCACGAGGGGAATTCATGAATTTGTACCCATCATGAGATTTGATCGTAGGTCTGGTTCGAGCCTGCCAACTCGGGTGACTAGAAAATCTCTAGATTATGAACTCTTTTTGATGATACACTTTATCATCAGTGCAATGGGGGAAAATTACAGAAAGGACTTAGAAACCACAGAGTCTCACTTCATTCGAGTTCACATTGCGTTCTTTGTTCTTTGTGTGAGTGTTCACATGAATATTCCGTATATTATTGCTATGTATAGTGTTAACGAGTGTTTTCCGTAAAACAATGGAAATGCATTTTTCAGAGTAAATTACAAGATACATTAGAGAGAATGATATACACTTTTGCGTAGTATAATAGTCTATTGCACAATACTTCCTAAACAAAATAATCAGCAGGAACAAAGATTTTAACTCAATGCATAGAATATTTTGTTGCTTACATCCAAAAGACAATCAATCTAAAACTCTCTGATGTTTTAAAAAGATAACCATGACATATGCAAATATAACTTGACACAATCACTACCAAATAGTTAAGCATTCATCTATTACCCATTCATGCATTAGAATTTTCTCGTTTTGTTAGTACCCACAATAACACACCATCGAAAACATCACCTACCTAACGGTGTAATACGTAAATTTTTATACATATCAAGAATATCATACATTACAATCTAACCTAGAGATTGAAAGTTACATCATCTTTTTAGTAGTTTGATAGCTTTATATTCTCAAAGGAACACTTTTATAGTCAAATGGCGTGCAATATCTGCCTCCTTATTCCTGCATTCGATCTTTCCGACCCTTGTATAAAGCACATTCATGTGCTCAAGAAACTAGTATTCGTCAAAGCAAATCGGCTCAATTAGCCACATTTGTGGAGACCGTATTTTTACATTGGTCTTCGCTTTGTCTGTTGGAGATATCAGCCATAACGTAGTCTAGAACTTTGGGGAGCTTGTCCCCTCTAGGGACTGGCTTTATGGTAAGTTTTAGTTGATTGGATCGGCAGCACGGTCTCTTCGACAAAACTTGATCTGAGCTTGACACGTGGACGCCACCATGCAGTCCGAGTATCTCATGTCAAGCGTGCTGCCATCTGGCAATTCTACACCCACGGACTCCAAGAGCTTGATCATATACGTGCAGCCTTTCATTGAAGTGTACCGATCGTCGACCTTTGCAGCAAGGCCACGCATACCGTACGTTTGTGAGGTGGTCCTCACGTATCCTCCTTCTGCGCCTCGAGTGGAAGTAAAGAGTATATGGGTAGTGCGCGGCCATCGAAACTGTAGATGAAATTTTAACCATTTGTCGTTGTTCATTCGATGGTTCAGAGCAAGTTTTGACCGAGAGACATTAGAACTGTTCCAATTAGTGCAATTCAGTGGTTGGAAACAATTTGCCTGGTAACCAATGGCATCACACGCCAATGGCTGCCCCGAATTTCTTCTGCATATCATTATCAGGTTCGTCTTCAATTTTCAAATGGTCGACTAAATAGCTTTTAAACACATGAAGGCTGGTGTGTGCGAGGAGGAAGGAAAGTTAACTAGCGAGCTGATCATCGTGCATTGGGAAGAAGTGCCGAGGAACGTCTCGACGATTCATAGTGATAAACAACCAAAAATCAGCCAAAAGCTTTGATATTTTTTGAGTTTGGTGCTTGACTTCTCTTTACTTCAGAAATTTGTTCTCTCCATCAAATCACAGTATGAAATCAGTACAGTACTGTGTGCAGGAAATGTGTCGTATATTTATAACTTTTGATGTGAGCCTTTTGTCCTTCATTGCGTCATTTTACTGCTGGACGTATGCGATGCGGGGGAATACCTGCAACATAGCATACACGATCTGCTGAAGCAGACAGTAGATTACAGGAATGTTATGAAGTGCCAAGAAGGCAGAACACTTGAAAAGCGGTCTAGATTGATAGCGTGCATGGTCTTGGTGTAATAGATGTCATGAAATTCATTCCTTATTGGCGCATCCCTCGGAGGCAGGTTGGCTTCTCAGACTACATATCTATTCTTCCAACTCATGTTTGTATACTTCGGCTGTAGAACTTTTTGATATTTCTTAACAAGAATAGGAAGATTAATCTCAAGCAAACCTTTGTAAGGGTGTGAGGACTCTAGGGTGGGGCCTTCCTTTCTGAGAGTTGCTAGTATGAGCAGATTGAAGAGGAAACAAAGAGGGGAGGAGATGGTAGGAGAAAATGATATGATAAGAACAAGAGGGAGTAGATTTCCAGTGAACAATATCTTACTTGTGATTTTTCCCGGTTAGATAATTTTAGTTAGGACTTTTAAGATCGACCAAGAAAACATAAATTTGCTTTGCCTTATACCAAGACAAATACAAAGACCTGGTATTATTGACTGAATTCTGAGATTTCAGCTTTACCAGCGAAATCCGGAAAAATTATGGCATTATGAAAATTTTCTCGTTATAACTTGAAAAGGAGAGACCTGGCTAAGATGCGATAACTTAATGGAAAGAGACACTGCAACTGGAAACGAGGGAAAGACTACTTAAGACTCATTTATCTCCTTTGTCGTCTGACTTTCCCAAACCAATGAGATTAGTTCTCACGTATCAGTCATTATGGAAACAAACCTACAAAGTCTCGCTTATATACATACTTATATATATATAGCAAAATGAATTTTGCTTTTGGCTTTGGACCAAGGTGTCTGAATTCTCTAGGACACCACAAGCAGAGAGTGGTGAAAGTTACTCAAGACTCTTCACTGACGTAGTCCGTATAAACACAGGATCATTTCATCATATAAATTTTTTGCAGTGAAGACTGTCATCTCCCAAGTGTAGGTGATAAGATGTCTATATTTCTTGTAATCGGACCTTCTCTCATACATTCAGTTGAGAGTAATGTTGCTGAAATACGTCAAATGCTATTCGAGATACGACCCATATCCCAAACTCCAGTTGGTGCGAATGAATATGTATGGATCAGATGCAGAAGGGCATTATATGAATACGCTTTAGTCATCTGAATCATACAATCTACAGCAGATTCTTCCAGCTCTGACCATTTATAACTTTGTTACTAGACGAAACAAAACCATCAACATCAATATATAGCAAGTAATGAGCTAGATGTATATCAGGTGGAAATTTGGAGGAAAAAGCACTCATATAGTAGCTGAAAACGATTCAAACTCAACAATGTCAAAGCATGGACCTAATGATCCGGCTGGCTCCTCATGTACCATTCAGTGTAGGCTATTTCGTGTTGGAGTGGTAGATGCAAAACTGACTCCCAGGTTGACAATCACGATAGCATCTCATCTTTTGCCGTCTGACGTGTTTTTCTTTGACAGCTACAAAATTGCAATGATTGGTGGAGTAGGAATCAGGATCAATCACTGAATTGCTGCCTCGCTTCGACTTCGATAGAGCCTTCTTCATCTTTTGGTCGTCTGCCTTGTCCTCTGAAAGGAAGGATATATTCTCAAGTATCAGTTTTTGCAGCTTTTCGGTCATCATTTTTTCTACATTTTGCATAGCAAGTCTCTTGGCTCAAGCAGAAGAAAAATATTATCGGACTCCTAAGTAGTGTAGACAATGGATGAAGTAACATATGATTTCTACATCCTTATGGGTACCTTCTTCAGTTGGTGGTTCTTCAGGAGCTGTTGTTTCTTCGGTCTCCAGGTTGTCTTCAATTGATTTCCCAGCTGAAATCGATATGCTTCCATCCTTCCGCAGTATCTCTTTCAAGGATAGAGATTTCTGCATTTTTTCGTTGAGAGTCTCCGAGGCTTTATTTTTCTTATCACCGGTACCTCCAGACATTGTCCTTGTAAAGGCACTTTAACCTCTCTTCAGAACTGCTGCAAAGTTAGAAAATAGCAACAATTTCGCTCTGTAAGTGTGACTGCTGAGTGGTACTCATAAGCTTGAAAGCTAGGCAGCTGGTTATATTCACCTGCAGTGCACTCATCTAATGCTGCAAATGGGAGAATATGAGAACATCTCTCCACAGATTAGTTGAAGATTCTACTTCTTTCTGCATGTGAGACCTTGTCGAGACATACCTGAACACACATGAAACAGATGAAGCGTCTCCTGATACTTCACGTTCCTCGTACGACGACGTTGTTATTCTTCGTGGAGATGCGTGGATAGTGGGAGATCGATTCGCAAGCTCCGAGCTCAACCTGCCGTCTCTTACTTCCTCCACTTCACATCTTTCTAAGAGAATGTAATGCTTCATCTTGTGAGAGCTGATTATGAGCGGGAGTAGGTTTTGAGCTTCGAACCAACTGCGAGGTGCACGTAAACTGTTGAAGCAAATAACGCTTTCCCTTTCCCGCGAGGAATTTCGAACTGTAAAGAGCCTTTCTGTCGTAACAAGAGACGAGATCCTGGTACCGCGAAGATTTTGCCAAATGTATGGCAACATGAATCATCGAAATTTTTAGTACCCAGATCATATCTAGGTACACGTGTCAGCATCTTGGACCTCTGCAGTAAACGGTCCTCGTAACTAATCCCATCCAACAGATCTCTCCATAACAGACCTGACTGTGAAAAATGATAAAACCGCTCGATCAAACTTTCTGCCTGTCTTAGAAATTATAAAATATAAATGCGGAATTTCGGGTAAAAATTAAAACTAGATCTTTTCTTTGTATAGACTGTAGAGACTTTTCACCAATTTGGAAGAATATATAACGAGCAATATTATATACCTGCAGCTTATATTTGTATTTAAATTGGGTCATGAAGTTGCAAGGTACGACTCCAATATGGAGCACTGAATGTCATTCTAGACTTACTGTTACGATTCAAAAATTATCTATACGAGATCAGCCAAAGGCCATGAAGAAGATGATTCATATGGTCGTATCTCTATGCAAATAGATAAATGACTTCTAGTTTTGTAATGTGCTTTCACGGTACGGTATATATGTGAATATCTGCCGACGGCTACAATTTCTCAATTCTTTTTATTCAAAATCTAAATTCCCGTTAATTCTACTTCATTAGATTGGGATTGAAAATGAGTGCTCAACTTTTTTCCATTTTCCTCATCATTGTTGCAGCTTCAAATTTACTGTATATCCGTATGAGACTTTGTCTCCACTTACACTTCATTGAAACGGAATCTGCGTCTATGTATGATTGCTACATTGTTTACTAACATGTACTGAGAACGTAGAACTGGCGGCTATAGACCATATATATATTGATATGATAATTAGGAGAAGCGCTGGCACTGACAAGTACCAGGTTTTGATTGGTTTGTACTCTACCATTTCTCCCGTGTAGAAGGATGGAGTTCAAGATCGACTTCAAAGGTTCTCAGATATGAATGCCATAAACATGACATTTTCATCAAATCATGAAAAAAATGAAGGCTTAAGTTAGTTACAATCTTGGCTGAAGAAAGTGAGTACATTTGTCTAATACCGGTAAAAGGTATCCACCTGATAGATATGTCATTCAAAATAGACCGAACGATATTGGAAATCTTGCATAAGATTCCCTTCTTCCTTTCTTAAATAGATCTGCACGGATCTTAACCTATATTTTATCCCACGCTTTAGATGGTTTCTGCCAATGTTGTCATAATCTTTAAGGCCAACTTTATGCAAAGCGCTGAAACAGGTTAGAGGTACTATGTCATTTCGTATCGTTATCTCCATTTTCTGAAACTCGTCCTCTTCAATAACGATAGAAAATGATTATTTGTCTTCCATGGTGAAATTCGATGGTTAACTAATCCAGGGAGCAATATCTACCCAGTTTCCGGGGATTCGAAACTCAGTCACCTTTAGAACCAATCAAAGATTGTCCCCTTTCATCCACGAGCTTTATGGAAGGAAATATAGATTTCACTCAAATTCGAATTCTCATAGTTCGAAAAATGAGAAATTCCAACTGCCTTCTGACGATTTTCTCTATCCTGGTTTTCTCCCTGAGTGCATAGCTGGAACTAAGTTGTATGAATCCCTTTCTGTAAAAATCTCTTTCGTATACGCACCTTATGACACGGTGCGTTTGGACTTATTGCTGATGCTATCTGCATAATAAGTTTTCTTACCTAAGGTACATCTACACATTGCAAATATTTTGTTGTGACAAAGTAACCAGTTTCCACAGCTGCATTGTTGTGTGAGTTGAGCAGCAGATGCCATATTCAGCGAAATTGCTGAAGGCACTCTTCACCTTGAAAAGTAGACAGCTGAGTGTTTTCCAACTGACTGTGCAATAATCAAATGCTACAAGTGGGAAACATGAGAACAATGTATGCAAACTTCTCCTAGTCCTGCATAGAAGATCAAGAATGTAAGACCTTGCACATACATGAACAAGCGGATGAGTGTACTGAGTATTTCATCCTCTGTGAAGAAATTTTCTTTTTAGTTGAGGAAACTAGAAACTGTTTTTGGTGATCTTTTTCAGAAAATATCATCCATAGGAAATAGTTTTAGAAGATTGAAAATCGCATTGATATAGATTCCTGGATGTCACTTGGGTCTGACCTCTAGGGTGGAGATAAACCTTTATTCTCAAAGTTACAAATGACGGGTTTGTAAACATGAAGCCACATGAACTTATGATTTCTACTTATTAACGCGGCAGTCATGAGGCAATGTGTGAGATTCTTACTTTATGAACTGCAAGACAACAGCATCAAGCTCTGATGGGTTAGCGTACGATCAGGTTAGGAACTATGAGGGATCATTCAACCTTTTGATGAGTGCCAATCTTAAAAACATAAATATCCTTTATGAGTACAGGCATTAGTCACCGAATTGTAATTTTTGATTGTTAACATACCATGAAAAATAAATTATATCCCATGCTCCTAGCGATTTTGAGAGCAAAAAAGCAAATGGTTTATCAGTAAACATAGCATGAGATTGAACAATAGGTTTGGACCTAAATTTGGTGCTCACTTTCATCGTTTACAAAGACCGATTGAGAGAGAAAATAGGACGGAAAAATTATTCACATTCTCTCTCAAGATTTTTTAATATGATGTTTTTTACTTTCAAAAAAGCAAAAAGTATGACATAGTTACTGTTTGTGATAGTATCCGTCCCTTGCCTCATGTTACTTCTTTGAAATTAATCCAATTATGGCTTGGTTGTCATCTTTCCATCCGTATTTCTATATACTTCTTGTTTACTTTCTCAGTCTTACAATCACTGGAAGAAAGCAATTAAATCACTTTAGCATTTTGAATTTGTATCATGAGTGGAGACTGCGCACTTTATAAGTTGCACAACTTTGTACCCATAAGCATATAAGAATAATTCTGGACGGTCTAGCTAAGAAACTGTCCAGCGGCGATTCCAGCTTATGATGAAGACGATTCACTGCAAAAACTAAATGCTGTTTCCCGTGTGATCATTATTTCCATATATAGGAACAACTGTTTCCAGATCGCTGTATGGAAGAAACTTTCCAGACAAAATAATTCTTATTAAAAAATATGGACTAGGTAAAATGTCTCCAGGAGTGAAAGAAAAATAAACAAGAAAAGCTCCAGCTCATAGCAGAAAGCAGTTGTAAAAAGAAATAAATCATTGTGCGGCGGGGCAGAATTTTTGCAATACCGTCGGTTCAACGAGTGAAGTACAGCTCTGAGCTAGAACTGCCCCAGACAACTGACCTGCCGTGATTTTGCATCTTTTAAGACAGAAGGCCTACATGGGCGTATGCAATGGGGGCCGCATGTCATCCAAAATACTGTGCAGTTGTGTAGGGAAAATCGAAATTGAATCGATCAGCTTGTCTGATCCATAGACGAGGTCAAATGAGTACTCTAGCCTTGTGGAAGGGTGGTTGGGTGAAATGACAAATCAGCGATCACGATTACAGATCACTGAATATCGAGAATACTGAAATAAGAAAATGCACAAACAATTGCATCGCCATCTCTCTCAGGAGGGTTCATTTTATTGTACACACACAGGTACATAATTATATACTCCTGCATTCAAAGACTATACACTCGTTTTGATTCTACAAGATATGGAAACATGATTAATGCTTTTCACAGAGAAGAAATTTGACCACACGTCATGTGTTGAAGAAGTCTGAAATCGCAAATCATAATGGAGGTCTAAGTTCGGTAGATTTTTTTGAGGCCTTCATCGGCAAGGTACAGCAGCCTAACGAAAGGTACTCCTATTCTCATGAGATTGAAACTGCTTATGCATGAATTGAAGAGCCTGCTGTTCCTTCAGATCTAAACTTGTACATAACTGACACTGTCAGCATCAGAGAAAGTAATAGTGAAGAAATAGAAAAATAAAAAGAGGGCAAAATGAAAGGGCAAAACAATATCTTGTGTAATCACTTGTTCATCCGGATATCCAGATACTTATGTCCACAGAGCTCCATCAATACTTTAGTGCCAAAATGGCAGACACGGAACATTCGAGGGAACTCAAGGCCATCGCAGGTTTAAATTCAGGTCAGAAAAAATTCGGTCATTAAAGAGAATTTTCTTCTGTTAATGCAGAATCTTTTTTTACAATTTGGTCCCTGTGAAGAGTTAAGATATTTTTGCTTCAATTTTTTACATTGCTAGTGAATTTTATTCACCTTTTATCCCACCTTCTGCAGTTATTACAGAAAATCATGAGAAATGGAGTACGTTAGTAAACTCAAGATGATGGGTCTTTTGTACCACTGCCGATGAAGGCATCCCAAAATTGTACCGAGCTAAGACATCCATCATGATTTCCAATTGTTCAACTTTCAACACGGTACATGTGGTCGAATCTCCTCCCTGTGAAATTTTTTTTATCATGTTTTCTTATTCTATAGAACTAAAAATTGAGGTTGTATTTTCTGAATGCTGTAGTATACAATAATATATTTGACTGTGTTCGAGAGAGATGGCGCTTCAAGCCTTTGCACATGCTCATTTAAGAATTCTCGATTTTCACGATTAGGAATCTTGACCTCTAGTTTCTCATTCTAGAAGTTTTCTTTTGCTTGTGATTCTGAGTCGATCTAATGGGATTCTTATTTAACCAGCCCTACCCGGCGCAAGAGTTCCCTTGCTACCTGCCCTATGGATCAGACAAGCTGAAGGAAGTTGCATTGCGAAGGAAAGACTTTCCCCACACAACTCGACAGGTTTTTGGAGGCAGCCCACATGCAGCCCACATTTCCTTCTTTGTAAACGAAGAAGGTAAGTGTCAGATCCACACTTATTTTTTGGTTTCATTAAATGTTTCACTCACCAAGTAGAAGTGAA